TTGAAAGGGGCAGAGACAGAGACACAGACATTCAATACACTTGTTCATTCCCCAAATACCGGCAGCACCTGGTTCTGGCCCAGGCCTAAGCTAAGAGGCTGACTCAGCAAAGTGAGTTTCAGTGAGGTGGCAGAGACCTAAATCCTTTTGAAACCACTGCTACTTTCCCAGGTGCATACATACATGTAAACTTCTTTTACTGTTGAAATCTGAAATCTTCTCAATATCCCTACGTCACAGAATATATCATTTGTATTCTACCAGTCTCTTGAGACAAATTTAGGAAACCTGCACTAGTTAGAAACTTAGACCATGCTGGCATGCACACTTCAAAGCATCTCTTAGAACACAGTTTCACAAAGCATTTTACATCTAAGATCCCCATCTAGCTATTGTTCTCTTCCAAAGCTTGTTTAATAATTAAGTCTACTATATTTTCCCCAAATAATACGAAATTTTAAAATGGGGCATTATCTTGCTTGGGAGTCTCAGACTGCACAGTCCACAAGCCAATAAAATAGTAATTGTGCTACTAAAGCCCAGATATATGTAACATCAGAATGAACATTTCTACCTAAGTGAAGATAGCTAACAATTTTACACTCATACAATAGGGAGTCCCTTTGTCATAGATCGATGAAACCATGAGCCAATACCATATTTCAATTGACATCTGAGGCTTAAAAATCTGGAAATCTGGGGCCAGCATGATGGTTTAGCTGGCTAATTGTCTCCCTACAGCACTGGCATCCCATATTGGGTGTTGGTTTGAGTCCCAGCCACTTCTAATCCAGCTCTCTGTTTCTGGTCCGAGAAATGATCTAAGGATGGCACAAAGGCACTGGGCCCTGTACCCACATGGGATCCCTGGAAGAAGCTGCTGGCTCCCAGCTTCAGACCCGCCCAGCTCCTGCTGCAGCAGCCATCTGGGGAGTGAATCATCGGATGAAACAGAGTTCTCTCTCTCTCTGTGTGTCTTTTTCCCACCTCTCTCTATATATCTGCCTTTGAAGTAAAATAAATATATATTTTTTAGATAGCCTGAAAATCTAAGGCTAGTCTTAACCTAGATCACTAACCTTCACAGGTAGTGCTGGGATGAGAAACTCAATCTCTTCCAGACTGGTCATCCTTCAAATTCTAACTAAGTATTCTGCCCAAAACTGAAAATACGTCAATAAGTATAAGCCCCCATATTTTCAGACTTCCATGTACTGAAAAAAAAAATCTAAGTGCTAGAATAAAAGTACTTATTATGACCTATCACTAAAAGGCTCTCTGCCAGATCCTTCAACAAATAAACTCTATTTAAATTATTCCCATTTGTTCAAATGATTACAGATCAAATTAAAAGACTGGGAGTTTCCCATTTCATTTTGCAAAACTGTCATAACCTTAGCCCAAAACATGATAAAATAGAATAAAAATGAAAACTACTGTTCAGTCTCCCTTAAGGAAGCACATAAAAATAATTACAATTGAAAACATTTACTATGAGCCAGGTACAGTTGAAGACCCTTTACATAAATTTCACAGCAACTCTTTCAGATACATATCATTAAATCTCTCCACGTAATAGAAAAGAAAAAAACAGGGAGTTGAAAACATTGAAATTCAGTTTGGCTACAAAATACTAGAAAATCAACCTACTTATGTATTAAATTAAAAACTACAGGGATTATCTTGTAATGCAAAGACTATTCAATATAAGGCATATTACTAAAAAGATGAGTGTGTTAAGGATGCCTTAAACACTTAATACATATTTTTATTATATATCCTTATTCTAATAACAACGACAAAGACTACTTATCAAAAAGTGACATCAAATAATATATACAAAAAATAAAACCTGCATGATGAGTTGTCCATTTAGTTCACCTATGAAGCCTCACTAGAACAGTACCTAAGACCTTATTAGGTACTCAAATATGTTCTTTTATGTGTAATTTCTTTCTTTTTTTTTTAAAGATTTATTTTTATTATTTTTTCATTGGAAAGGCGGATATACAGAGAGGAGAGACAGAGAGGAAGATCTTCCATCCAATGATTCACTCCCCAAGTGAGCGCAACAGGCCGATACTATGCCTATCCAAAGCCAGGAGCCTCTTCTTGGTCTCCCACACGGGTGCAGGGTCCCAAAGCTTTGGGCCGTCCTCGACTGCTTTCCCGGGCCACAGGCAGGGAGCTGGATGGGAAGCGGGGCTGCCGGGATTAGAACCGGCGCCCATATGGGATCCCGGGCATGCAAGGCGAGGACCTTAACCACTGCGCCACCGCGCCGGGCCCTATGTGTAATTTCTTTAAAAGGCTTTCCCATCATACTAGGAATGACAATGGCAAATGTGCTATAACTATTATTCCCCACAATTTACAGAATTCTAACAAATGCAGTAGCATTGAAAGTACAAAAAAAATTAATTTCTAGACTATATAATAGTGTATTTACAAAACTAGAAAAACCTAAATGAAAACCCACTAGAACAATTTAAAGCATTCAATAAAGTGAGCAAATAATAATAATAATACATAGTCAAAATTAAATGGCAGGTAAAATTGCACCTGAAATCATAACATACAATGGACAAATGTAATAAAAAAGGTACAGGACCTGAAAAAACGACACCATGTTCTAAGATATAAAACAAGACCCACATCAACAGAAAGGAAGCCTTGACTGGAAAGTAAAATGAAATATTGTGAATTTACACCTAACAAAATCTTTGCAGAAAGACACATTTAGAAGAAAAAAAAGCTAAGAATTCACTCAAAAATGTGTTTTAAAAGGCTGAGAAGAGTCTTCTGCTATTAGACAGTAAAACATACCACTAAATAGCCACAAATCACTAATACAACTTCTACAACTATTAATAACAACTACATATTAAGTGCTGTGTTCCAGGTATTGTCCAGGCGCTTTATATATGTAACTTAATCCTAACCATAATCCTATGAGATCCATATTTCTTCTTATTCCCATTCTAGTGGTGAACAAACTAAAATACCAACCGCTTGAATACTTTGATCAAAGTAACAGTCAAGGCAAGCACTGGTACAGTGGTGGAAAGATCATTGAAACAATGTTGTATACAATGATTTGGTGATCTTGATTCATCCTTTTCTTTTTAAAGATTTATTTGTTTATTTTGAAAGAATAACAATGAAAGAGGGAGAGACAGGGAGGAAGACAGAAATGTTTTCCACTCGCAGGTTTATTCCCCAGATGGCCATTATTGCCAACACTGGGCCAAGCTAAAGCCAGAAGCCAGGAACTTCATCCAATCTCCCATTTGAGTGGGAGGGTTCTAAACACGTATACATTCTTCCGACGCTTTTCTCAGGTGTATTAGCAAGGAGCTGCATTGGAAGTGAAACTGGTGGGACATGAACCAGCACCCATATGGGATGCTGGCATTGCAGGCAGTGGCTTTACTCACTAAGCCACAACTCCAGCCCTTAAGTGTCTACTGACTGTTTAGTCTTTACCAAACAATATTTTAGATTCTGGAAGCTTGGCAATGGAAATGACAAACGTTTTTATCATCATTTCTTAAAATGAAGAGACAGAATATCAGCAAGGAAACAAAAAAACTTTTAAGAAAGTGATAAGAATGCTAAAAAGGAAATAAAACAGGTGCTATAACAGAAACAAACCAAAAGGGGCTCTATTTTTCCAAGTAGTCACTTCTGAAAATATATTTAAAGAGCTAAAAAAAAAATTACAATACTTACTGACCTGGAAAACATCTGAGACAGGCAGAAGAGTAAATCCTCCAGACTAGAGCCAGGTCAGAATGCTTAAGTAATAGATGAAAGTACAAAGCACTGCAACAGGATCGGGTGGTTGGGACAAGTGTACAAGACAAGGTGGGTGCTTACTCCAGGAGCCAGGCACATGTGCTCTCACCTGTATCAATACCATTCTTAAGATTCTACCCTACAGCAACAGCAGCATGCACACAACAACCTACGTGCAGAAACACACTCCTGCTAGACAATCTGTAAAGGGAACATTGCTGGGAAAACTACATGCTCTCTATCTGAAATCTAACTTACACTACTCAGTCCTGGAGACATTATTTGAAAAAAAAAAAGTATACTAACACATATGACATGGTTCCATTTTATCAAAATTTTTATTATTTTTTAAATGAGATTCATTAATTATGCTATTAGTAATTTTAGACCCTAAACTCAAACCCAGGACAAATATCACTTTGCCCCCTCTGCCTCCCAAGAAATGCCCTCCTGCTTTGTGTTCACATGCTTCTTCACCTGGGAACATGAACTGCATACCACCACACAAGCTTTAAGAACACAGATAAGAATGATATTTCCCAATAACTTCAAAACATAGTAGCCTCCAAGTAAGCTTGAAATGATTGCAGCAGCTTTAGTAATTGTTTATATATTTATAAAATTCTATTTATGGAGAGAGAGGCAGACAGACAAAACAAACAGTAGGGCTAAAGCCCCAAGTGTTTTTGACTATTTGTGGCATGTCTCCTATGAGGGTGTGGGAACTCAAGTACTTGAACTAGCATCTGCTGTCACCCAGGTGCATGAGCAACAAAGCTCTGTGGGAAGTGGAGTATCTGGGACTAGAACCAGTACTCTGATACAGCTTGTAGATGTCTCACACTTCAGCTTAACCTAATGTAACATAATGCCTTTCTTTTTTCAAAATAAAAATTATTCTCCCTCTTTTCCTTCCTTCTCTTTGCAGTGACAGTTTAATTTATAATCAGAAGTTCAACCCTCCACTAAATAAAGAAGTCAACAAGTAGTAGTAGAAAGAACACTATTCCTCAGGAGCACACACAAGAGCTACAAACACTAATCAAGTCAAAATGTCAACCTGACTCATATACATCACATAATCAGGTAGCATCATAAATTTTGTTTAGAAGTAAAAAACTACATTATAATGAGTAATTAATAGGCACCTAAATATTCCTTTGGCTATTATAGTAGCAAAAATGCAAATAAGTTTCTCTTACCTCCACTTTTGTTCGATAAAGAACAAGTCGTTTAAGGCTGCATAATTTGGCAATGTGGTTGAAAGCTTGAGGTGGCAATTTATCACAGGACGAGAGATTTAATTCCTGCAGATTTGGACACATCTCAGAAATAACCTCCAAGCAAGTTTCATTAAGAAAGTGGCTGCATGATAATTCAAGGCGTACTAATTCAGATCCACAAACCTTCAGAAACCTGTAAAACCATGTGAATGTTATAAACATGCAAGATATTTTGTGTAAGAATTTCAGAATTGTATCACCTCTAAGAAAATACACTGGGACAAATATACTTCAATTAGAAAAATATATAACTTGTTTTGCTTAAGTTCTCATCCACTGCATGCAGAAATAAGCAGAATTAAGACTAAAATAAATCAACCTAAGAATATATAAAATATCAATTAATCTAAGTGGAAAACTAAGAAAGCAGAGTGTATTTTTCTACTTCTTACCTGGTAATTCACATAATACTAGTAATGTAAAAAAAAAAAATAAGGAAACTCTGAACTTAGAAGATTATTGCTCACACACAGCCATTCAGTGCTGGATGATATATCTTGGAAACTATAAGAAGGACAGCTTTCAGTAAGTCTCCTGAGAAACCAGACCAGCTTCCTCTTAAGCAAAATTTAAGTTAGCTTAACTACACAATTGTGATATATTCCTTGTAACTGTTACTATTTACCAGGCTGGCTGCTTCACACTGAAATTATTATAAAATATTCATCACAGTTTCACATAAAAATAATCTAAGGTAAAAGATACAGAATGTTTTATGAGAGCAGGAATCATAGTGTTTATCTTAGTCACAAAGTAATCTAAAAGAAACCGTGAATCTAGAAGCATTTGAATCTGTGAAACTTAACAGCTAGCCAAACTGAATCTTTAAACAGTGCATCCAATATCCTTGTCCAGGTCTCATAACAAAATTTTGCCCATCAGGGCCACATCAGTAACAGAGCTGGTTAATTTATGCCACATATTTTTTTCCCAAATGAGTTGACAAGCTTTGACAAGCTTACAAATCAACATACAAAACAAAATGGAACTAAATCAAATTACATATATAAATCAAGAAAGTAGCACCGGACTTCAAGTCCAAAGATGGATTTTTGCCCTCTTGCTGCTTGCTAGCAGGGACCTAGGAAGAGGCATGCTCCCCAAGTCTCTGCATTTCCTCAGCTGGAGCAGCACCAAGTACAGAACAGTTCTCACCACATGGCCTCGCCATTTTGGATATCAAATATGTGAAGGCAGCTTGTAAAAGTCAAAGCACCCCCCGCAAGTATTAAAATGTACGTTAAAACTTGGCCAATTCACACTTTAACAACATTGAGTTCTATAAATTTACTTTAAATAGATACTTCAAAAAGTTTGTGGAAAATGGAATTAAAAGTTAAGCTTATTTTATTGTGAGATTTCTTTGAACTCCATGTAAAAAAGTGGGGTGTCACAGAAGCCGGTACACCTATATCCCATATAGGCACCAGTTATATGGGCTCTATTTCTGATCCAGCTCTCTGCGTATGACATGGAAAAGCAGCAGAGGATGCCTCAATTTCTTGGGTCCCTGCACCCATGTGGGAGACCTGCAAGAAGCTCTTGGTTTCTGGCTTAGGATCAATGCAGCTTCAGCCACTGAAGCCATTTGGGAAGTGAGGTAGAGAATGGAAGATCTCTCTCTCCTTCTTCTTGTAAATCTGCCTTTCAGATAAAAATAAATACATCTTTATTTATTGTGATTTTGTGTCACAAAGCTTAGGAAAATGAATGTTATAAAAAGCCTACGTATGGAGGATTAAAAAAATTTTCACATCCAAATAAACTGATCTTTTAATTCCATTTTTTCACAGTTCTTGAAGTACCTTCTTGTAAATAATCCAGAAACCTACGCATCTTATTTACACCTGGATGTCCATTTGTTCTTAATCCACAGCAGTTTGTTCTGCTCCCTGTATGCTACTATTTTAAAGGCTGCACTCATTGACTTCTTTCTCAGTCCACTGTTTCAATTATTTGTGACTGTAAAATAGTCACTCCTCATGTGAATCTCTGGGCTCTCTTCTAGCACATCTCATTACTGTTTCCTTTGCTAGCTGTTGTTAGCTGACTTCATTTTTCATTTTATTTGAATACAGAGATCAACAGAGGTCTTTCTTGTGCTGATTCACCTCCCAAATAAACTCAGTAGTCAGACTGGGTCAGGCTTAGGTCAGGAGTCGGAAATCCAGCCAAGTCTCCCATTGCCTTGCAGGATACATATTAGGAAGCTGGATCAGAAGTAGAAGAATTGAACAAGATACTCTGATTGGGATGCAGGCATCCTAGACAGTATCTTAACTGCTGTACCAAATGCCTACCTCATATTAGCTAATGTTTTGTTTGTTTATTTGAGGGACAGACTGACACACACAGAGAGACATACATACACAGACATACACATAGGGAGAGAGAGCAAGAGCCAGAGTGAGCATGAGAATCTCACATTTTGGAGGTTCACTCCAAAAATGCCCTTCCAAAGATTGTAGAATGCTATCAAAGCAGTCAGGAACCCAACTCTTAAACAACAGCAGAATTTCTCTAGCTGACTCAATTGGAAAACAAAATAGAAATGAATGATCACTCATATATTTTCTTTCTTACTGTCAGGGTTCCAATATTGCATGTTTTCTTGACCAATATTCCCATATTCTCTAGCCTACTGACAAAGTCTGTACCATCTGTCTTTCTATAATATTCTTCTTCCCAAGAGGCAGAACAACACCAGACTCAATTAACTACATAAACTTTCTTTCCTTACCGCTCCTCAAGTAATTTTTATTTTAGTACATAATTACATGTGCACTTTTATTTTGATAAGCTTTTTACTACTCTTGTGATGCTAGTGTCTTGAAAGAAGAACGTTAGCGTCTTTGTTTCCTGTAGTCTATTCTTGGTATAGGGTGAATTCTTATAAAGTATTTCTTTATAGTGATAGTTTTGTAGGAAGCTGTAAGTTCAGACAAACAATCCTGAACCAGGTCCACTGCTATAAGAAAAGGAGTCTTTTCTACATATTATGAGGTGAATTAATTTGTCTAGAATAGTATAAATATACAAGAAGTAATTTTCCAAGTGGTAACTTATACTCTAAAATAATTAAAATTACACGAATGGGCAATTTAATCTGCATTTACTCCTCACAAAATAAGACATTAACTCTTCCCAAGGTATAAAAGTATGGGGAGAATTACATGTAAACATCAATGGCATATGATTCATCTTTTGTTTTGTTAGCCGATTCTGAAGTTTTGTAAAGAAATGTATTTAAGATATTTTTAAACCCAATAACCTGGAACATTATTTAAAGCATCTAAACCAAAATAAAACCATGAAATATAACTTCCCAATTAACTATGCTTAGTACTATCCATCAATGGTAGGAAGAAGGAAAAAAGAGTCTTAAAGCTGCCTCTGGGAGTTGACAATCTAAAGAGACAGCCAAATAACATGTACCTAGGTAACTGGATAAGCATATGAATGGGCAATAAGCTCTTTATTTCATGAAAGTATAGCTTTGTGGGATAATATCTAATATAACCTTTGAATCTAGAAACTATCTAATCCCATTCCCTGAAGAAATACATTCTTAGAACAAGTAGAGGAATTGGGGTAAAAACTCGCCCATATATCAGGGTGATTCAGCAAATGTTTGAGAAAAAAAGTGGAGTAAAAACATAAACCCAGCTCAGCTGGGAAAAGAAAAATACGATTAAGCCTTGAAGCACAAACAGGCAGAGAAGGCAAGGAATGTCCATGGCTTTATAGAATCGTGCTATAGAGCAGAATTGCAGTATCTGTGATTTTAAAGAACAATGCTATGCATAGACAGTACTCAAAGTTGCAAATCACAAATCTGTAGCTACAGAAATTTTAACTCATTAGAAATTTTTAAGTTCTCTTTATTCCAATTTAACCTGTTTCTTTGCTACTCTCTGTGATACAAATTTCCTTAAAAGTTCTTTAAAAATTCAGTTAAATAGCTCTTATTTGGAAGAACAGTTTTTAAGTGTCAAAAATAAACTACATCAAACATTTCCTCCATAAACTTGCTCAAGAAGTAGCTCATATCATTTGTGTCTAGTTTTAAAATGTACTTTTCTTCTTTAAAGTATTATAAATAAGTCTTCACAGTAATGAACATAAATAGACCCTACTTATTCATAGATTATTCATTAATAATCAAGCTATGAATATTTATTGTTTATTCTGGGAATGCTGCCTACGAGCCATAATGACTATCAATTCAGCAGTCAAGTCAAGAGGGCCAATAGCAATCAGCAGGCAAAACTCCAACATGTGTTGTTCAAAGAGACACTTTCTGTGAGTTAAACTTTTTATTTTCTCAACAGGAGCAGGGACCACACTTAAAGGCATGCTATCAAGATTTATGGCTTCATTGCCTGAAATGTTGGAAAGTAAGAAATGAACATTACATCTGAACTTCTGTGATTACTCGAATCCCCATAGCAACTAACCTGGGTAAACTGAAAATAGAGAATCGCTGATGAGATAGTAGATGGAAGCTTTGCAAAGAAAAATTCTTATCCATCACCAGCCTAAGATTCAAAATTATTGCTAGGTTTTCTGCTCACATACTAGAATTAGTCTCACAGAAAGCTTTTAGTGGCTGACATTGTGGCTTAGAGAATAAAGCCTTCACCTGCTATGCCAGCATTCCACATGGTTATTCGTTCATGTCCTGCTCGCTGCACTTTGATCCAGCTCCCTGCTAACTGTCTGGGAAAAACAGTGCAATATGGTCCCAGTGTTTGGGCCCTACCATCCACACAGGAACTTCAGATGAACTGATGAAGTATCTGGTTCCTGGTTCGGCTTGACCCAACAGTGCATACTGAAGCTAGTTGGGAAATGAACAAACAGACAAAAGATCCTTGTTTCCTCTTATTTCTTTCTGCCTCTCTCTCCCTCTCCCCTCTTCTCTGTAACTCTGATTTTCAGATAAATATTTTAAATATTTATTTAATATTATCTTTACTAATCATTGTCATGATCATATGAAGCACTTTGCCAAAACCAGATTTCAGCCATTCATTTCCAGCCATTCATTTCTTCAGTGTCTAAAGTATTGCCATCCTATTATTTTATTTATAAAATTATATAAAGGATATGTTGATAGCTAATGTTACACTATTATCTTCCCTAAAGGCTGAAAGCTGGAACTATATCATATCTGATATATCATTTTGGTCAACAACACTCACTATGTTTTACATACAAAGTGTGAAAACAGTGTATTCCTAATAGTGGAAAACATGAGGGAGACATTGATGAGGGCAATCAAAACATCCTATTCGCCCTTGCAAAGTAAGCTATCACCTACTGACAACACTTGTTCAATTGGATCTCAAATTCGGTTAGCTAGTGTCTGATTTGATTGTATATACTCTAAATAGAGTTGTCATTAGCTTTCATTCTTGCTCCCATTGGCAGAGAGGAAAATTTGTAGGTGAAACTGGCATGTCTGGATCAAGGAGAATTACAAAGAACTATGTAGTGGGTGGAGCTCAGAAAACAATATCCCAAAAAACTGATCCAGTGTGCAGCTAGTTATCACTTAATATGCCAGCATCCCACATCAGAGCATGAATTCCCACTTCAGATGCTCCACTTTCAATCCTGCTCCCTACTAACGTGCCTAGGAAAGCAGCAGCAGATACTTGAGTCCTTATGCTAACATCGGAGACTCAGATGGAGTCCCTGGAGTCCTTGCTGTCAGCCTGACCTAGTTTTAGAGTTGCACCCATTTGGGGAATGAACTAGCAAATCAAAGATCTCTTTTGCTCTTCTCACTGACCCTTTCTGTCACTCTGCCTTTCCAATAAATAAAATCTATGAAAACAAAAAATCAATACCCCAACTACAGTACTCTGGCATGCTGAGTCCTCTGCACAAGGTGCTGGAGAGCCTCAGAAGCAGTCTCTGGACCCACATCTCTCTGACCATCTTCTGCCCTCCTGGCTCTTGGTCCCCATCCTTCTCTGAAACAAGTTACAGTCAGCAGAATTCCACTTTCCCAAGTCAGGTCACAGATATTAAAACAAGTCAGAAAGCCTAAGAGTATTTACAACAAGCTTTCCCTACTTATCTAAAGGCTGGTCATATAGAGGTTTGTTGACCTAGCTTTGTCCAAGAGGAGGTCATAAGATGTTCATCAGACCTTCTTTCTAGAAAGACCTTGAACCAGATCCAGAAATGCCACCACAAACAGGCAAAGAAAGCCTCAATGGAGAGGCGTTGCTAGGTTTCCATTTTTTTTTAGAAAGGTCTCCCACTTTGTCTATTATGAATACACCACACCATTTTTGGCCCAGTTACTTCATCAAACTTCAGCATGATGGTTTCCCTTGCATTGATGAACCTTTGTTCTTAGAATTGCTGTATCATGTGAAACCATGATTACAAACATTTCTTAGACTTTTCTCTTACTAATCTGTCTGCAGTTATGGGGATGTCAGAGATGGATGGCCTTTCTGATGAGGAAGAAAGGAATCATGCCCTTTCTGCTACTCATTGTGTTCCAATGAACAGCTGTCAAATATCTAGCAATGGATCCCATCCCCTAGTTCAATTTCTGACAGAAAAGAAACTCAGTGCATCCAGGGTTCCAACATGTGTTCTAGGTTAATTCTGTTTGGGTTTGTTTTTAACCTTTATGCACAAACTACCAATGTTGGTATCTTGAACATGCCACTATTACAAACATTATGACTTCACCCAAATTTAATATCAAATACTTACTTCAGGAATTGCATCTTTTTATAACTTAAAAGGAAACAAGGTTCCATATATTAATTTCTAATTCATACACTACTATTCAAGAATCAGTCTACTGGGGATATGTATAACTATAACTAAAGCAGGATAAAAGAGTATAAATATGTCAATGAAAAATAACAGATTATTTCACCAAAGTTTTTACTTCTTTGTTATTTAGCTTCATAGGAATGAGATTTTATGTAACATAAAATGAGATCATCACCAAAGTTAAAATAAAAACACCTGTTTGCACCATAAGAAAAATTACTGTGGCATTACTAAATGAACATGCACTTGTGTAAGCTTTCAAATGTTTAACAGGTGACATTTAATGGTAAGAAAACTAAATGCTTAAATAGAAAGGAGCAGAAACACCTGGGCAGGTCTGCCAAGTGTGGTCGTCTATTTAGCATGCAATTGCATTTTCAACGTAATTAGTTTAAATGAGCTTCTAAATTTGGGTGATGTATTGCACATGTAATTAAGATTAAATTTAAAATGTTCTATAATAAATTGTTTTCCATTTATGACAAATCACATTAGAGGTAGATTTTGATTTGGAAATAGTTTTTAAAATGTGTTAATCACCTGTGCTGAAAATGCGAAAGAAAAAAAAAGGAGTTCTGTTGAAAGTCACTTGAGATTTTAAAAATGTGAAGCAAAGCTGAATAGTAAAACTTAATCATTTTTATAAACAGCAACATTCTGAACATGACGTGACACAGAAAACGCTTTTTATTTTTGTGAGATATAGAGTATATGTTTGAAATTATATACTGAAGAACAATACAGCATGCTGGTGAGAAAACAGAACAAAACAAAACAAAACCTCAACAAGGCTTTGCACTAACCTGCTAAATCCTGCAACAGAAATGAAGCCCCTATTGCCAGTCCAAGATAGATTAAGCCACTGGACGAGAATGCATCGAGCCTGTAGAAATTCTAAAGAGCTGTCATTTACTTTTGCCCAGTATGGTTGCAGATTGAGGTGGATGTACTGCAGAGGATCACAGCAATGCTGGTTCAGTAGTTTGCAAGTCTGTGCTAATCTACACAGATCTGGTAGTGTAAGATGATTCAGAATCAGTTGAATGAGCTATATGAAACAGAGAAACCAAAATCATTAAGAGTGGAAAAACAGAATTACTTTATAAAGCATGTGTATAATGTGGTCTAACAAAAAACAACAGTCATATATTTTATAACAGTATTTTCACATAGTAAATAAAATCCCAAAGTGTTAAAAATACTTAATATGAAATTATTTTTCAAAGCTGCTCAAAAAATATACTCAGCTCATCTTGACTATCCACTTTTTTAACATATAAAGATGCAATCGGCTGTTGATGACTAAACACTAAACAACTGCATGCCAGACGACAGTGACAGAAAAGAAATGGCTCCCCATCACAGAGTGCTCCCAGCGCAGCAGGGATTAAGTGGTGCGCACAGTGATATATATTACAAGTCTCGACAGTGGCACAGGATGCTGCTAGGGCCCACACAACACACAACTCTAACTTCAAAGGTGAAATGTGTTTGTGTGAGAAGACTTGGTTTTAAAAGGCTGAAGGGCAAAGCAGCTGAGGAGAGTCTAATGGTGAGGACTGAGTGACACTCCCACAAGAAGTTTGGATTTTTCTGGTGCGGCAGCATGGCCTAGCAGCTAAAGTCCTCGCCTTGAATGCCCCGAGATCCCATATGGGCGCCGGTTCTAATCCTGGCAGCTCCACTTCCCATCCAGCTCTCTGCCTGTGGCCTGGGAAAGCAGTTGAGGACGGCCCAAAGCTTTGGGACCCTGCACCCTCGTGGGAGACCTAGAAGAGGTTCCTGGTTCCCGGCTTCGGACAGCACCGGCCGATGTGCTCACTTGGGCAGTGAATCGTGGGATGGAAGATCTTCCTCTCTGTCTCTCCTCCTCTCTGTATATCTGACTTTGTAATAAAAATAAATAACTCTTTAAAAAAAAAAAGAAGTTTCGATTTTTCCTGAAAACAATGACGGGATTTAAACTGCCCATTGACATGCTCTGGACTTGTGTTTCAGGAAGTTCATTGCAGGTGGTGATATTGAAGAGGGCAAGATGGGAGATTACACAGGGGTAATACAGAGTTCCAGCGAAGAGAAGGGGCTATGTAAGCTGGCAGGCACCGATGACAGAGGAGTAAACAGATGCAAAAAATTAAGAAGGTAGTATCAAAAAGGTGTTTGTCTCTAAAGTTATCTCCCTGACATAATCCACAGTTTTTGCTTTTAAATATTTATTTTTTTACCTGAAAGTCAGAATTACAGAGAGGGCGGGATGGAAGCAGAGTGAGAAAGTGAGGGAGGGAAGAGGGGAGGGAGGGAAAAAGAGGGAAAGAGAGACAGAGAATCTTTACCTGCTATGCCACAATACCAACTTCTTATTTTTCCTTCTTTTAAAAGCTGAGTTTTATTTTTAAATATGCTTACAGCTTTTTTGAACCTGAATTTATTTGTATATCATTTGTTTACCCTTTACTGACTATAATGACCAAGTTTTTTTTTTTTTAATTTTATCATATAATTCTGTATAGTCTGGGATTCCCATTCCAAATCCCAATTCCCACCCCCCCCAACTGATTTTTTCCCATGTTATCACAACAGTACATTCTTTCGTAAGGAGTTATAATTCCATCAGTCTGCTCTTTAGGTGTGGCCTGATATTGCTGGTACCAACAATTATAATGACCAAGTTTTAAGAACAATCTAAACACATTAACATTTGACAGCATTTTAACACCTGGATATTAGACAGCATCCCATTAGAATGTGAATACAGCTTTCATTCACCACAGACAATATTTTAATTTTCTCCCCAAACTTAAGGAGTTACACTGGATTTGAACTGAAGCAAATAAAGGTCAAGTTAAAATACAGTTTTCACTTGTCGAGGGCAGACACCAATGCACACACTGTCACTAAGCATCTGTCACGTGGAGCCTTTCAGGTTCCTAACAAGAGTCTGTGCGGCCAGATCCTTGTGCCTTTGCTTTGTTCTTTCCTTTTCATGCCTCTCTCTTTGCCTCCAACCTTCGTCTACCTCTGGTGCATCCACATTAGGGACTGCCCAAGTGGTCCACAAGGCTTTCTGTTTCTCTTAATTTCAGTCTCTTTTCCATGGCGTCTTTTTCATCTGTCAGCTCACATTCTATTAACTCTTGGTAATGTTCAGGCATTAGTACAGTTGTTATTTAACATCCTTCATGAAAGCATTATCGTCTAATTTGAGAATACTTTTAAGCCTGCTGAGCTCTTTTGGAGCATCCTTTGTTTTTTTTTTTTTCAGTATGTGTCTTCCTTTTCCACTTATCCTGAAGCTTTTAGCCATGCTTTACTTTTAGGGTCAAGGTTAATCTTAGCAAGGAGGACTACTCTTCAGTTTGGGGAGGTCAGAGAGCTGCCACCAAGACCTGGCAGGGCCCTCACCTTGTACAGCAGCCTGCAACCCCCAACCAGAGGACATGCGTGGCCCAAGAGACAAAATCCTCCAAGAGCCCCAATTTGTGTAGCTCATTGTGTCTAGCAGGCACCAAACACTCCCAATTGCTCCATTATTTTTTCTGAATGGTGAACAGCTCAGATCTAGCTTAGTTTTCGAACGATTTCTCTTTAAATAACCTAATTTTGAACCAAGGATTCTAAAGCAAAAAAGACCAACTGTGACTAAATGGTATTGGTGTTGTGGCAAAGTGAGTAAAGCCACCTCCTGCAATGCCACTGGCATGGGTGCCAGATCGAGTCCTGGCAGTTTGGCTCCCAATCCACCTCCCTGCTAACAGCCTAAAGCAGGCAGCAGAAGCAGGCCCAAGAGCCTGGGCCCCTATCATGCATGTGGGAGACCCAGGTGAAGCTCCTGGAGTCTGGCTTTTTGCCTACTCCCGCCCTGGTTGTTGTGGCCATTTGGGGAGTGAACCAATAGATGAAGAGTTCACTCTTTCCTTCTCTATCTCTGTAACTCTTCTTTCATAATGAATAAATAAATCTTTTTGTAAATGTTAAAAAGGACAGAAAAAAAGAAGGTTCAGAGTTTTTTATTTACTTTTCTGTAATTACGGCCTTTAAATAATTTTGAGAGGCAGAGAGATGGTGAAAAAGATGACCAGACATAAGGAGAACACTTCTTAAATGTCCACATTGGCTTCGGATTGGGTCAGGCCAAAGCCAAGAGCCAGAAATACAAACCAGTTGGCCCACAGGAGTGCTAGGGACCCAACTACTTGAGCTAACACCTGCTGCGTCCCAGGTGTGTACTGACATGAAGCTAGAACTGGGAGTAGAGCTGAGATTTGAGCCCAGATTCTCAGTTACGCAATGCACACAATCACAACCAGACTTGGCCACCAGGCCAAACACCCATCTTGTAATCATGCCCTTTAACTGAATTGCTCCTCTGCAATTTATGTAGCGTTGTACACTCAGTGTCTCAGTTCAGAATTTTGCTGTTTTGGCGTCAATATACATACAGCAGCAACAATATAATTTTTAAAATAAATTATGAAATGCTAATAAAACATAAACATTGCCTGATCAATGAATGTGCTTTACATAATAAGATTTGAACTAGACATTTAATTCTGCTGCAGCACGTTATGTGATTGCTTATGACACTGCCATCCCATATCAGAATGCCGATTTGAGTGCTAGCTGCCGCCTTCTGATCCAGCTCCCTGTTAATGGATCTGGAAGGCAGTAAAATATGGTCCAGGTACGTGGGCCCTTATTACACATGTAGGAGACCTCAAGAGAATTCCTGGCTCCTGGTTCCACATGACCCATACCTGGTTGTTATAGCCATTTGAGGACATAGTGAACCAGCAGATGGAAGACTTCTTTCTTGCCTCTTTACTGTCTCTCGGTCAGCCTTTCAAATAAATTAATATTATCTTTTTCTAAAATTAATATCAGGTGTGCATTTTGAACCCATCCTTGTAAAATCAGTTTAACAGGAGTGCTCACCCCATACAAGTCCTCCAGGTGTGGGCCACCTGTGTGATGTCCAATCACTTTAGTAGAAATCCTGTTGGTTTGAGTTAGCCAGAATCTGACTAATGCTTCTTCATGTTTCCTGATGTTTTCCCACCCACTTAACCTCAGTGAGCTCCTTGGCTACAAATTCCCACAGACACACAGTAGTCAGCGTGGAACATAGTCTCTCCTACTGCATAGTCTGTGCAGTGGTCCCTATACCCATTTTAGTGGAGTAACTATTTTATCAAATTCAATCATCTATACAAATCTGTTGACATGTAAAAATACAACAAAAAATTTAAAAATCGGGTAAAAATTTAGAAAACCTAAACACTGAAGAAAGGTAAAAAAATGAAAAGTGTTTCACCCTCTACTCTCAAGAATAACAATCCTTTACCAAGGAGATAAGCACTGTTTTCAAGTTTTCTTATACTTCCTAAATAAATGTGAATGAAATCCTCTTTGTATACCCACATGTGAGAGAACCAGGTCTACGGACAGATTCTGTAGGAGATATGTGGGCTCATACCTGTGGGTCTGTGGAACCCACTGGTTTGTGCAAGACCTGGGATTGGTAGCGAGTAGAGCTATAGGTATAGCCATAGAACTCACCTACATTCATGGGGACTGGGATTGGGAGCAGATCAGGCTGGCCCAGGCTGTAGAAGAAGCAATGGGTGCACCTGAAAATCTGGTCTGGGGGTGGGCAGAAACACGGCACCCACTAACACCTGGTAAGGCCAGAACTGGGGGTGGACTATGCTGGGCAGAGACCTAGTAACTGTCAGCATGCATGAGATCTGGGTCTGGAAGCAGGCCTGGTAGGGCAACTTGGGGAACTCCCCTACTAGTCTACAGCTCCTGCCAGTGAGCCTGAGAGCCAGGTCTCAGGGCAGGGTGGCAAGACAAGGTGACAGCACCTGTCCACATATGTGTGGGCTGAGTCTGGGAATAGGTCAGGATGAGCCAAGCTGCAGCACTCATGAACATGTATGAGAGCCAGACTGGTTGCAGGATGGGATGGACTAGAAATGCAGCACATGGTAGTATACACAGGAACTGCGGCTGGAGGTAGATCTTATGGTGGTTATGGAGGTTGATCCGACTAGGCTGCAGTTTCCACTGGTGCACATAAGAGCTAGACTTGTAGTGGGCTGGACTGGGTTAGGCTGAAGCACCCATTGGTTTGCATGGGACAGAGGGCTGGGGCTGGAACTGACCAGACAACTGCATTCATTAGCATGTGATAGGCTGATGCTGATGACAGACTGAACCAGACCCTGCATGACTATGAGTACACATAAGGCGAGGTTTCTCTGGGGATTCCCCAATCTAACCATTAGACTCAAATCCCAGTTACAGGAAAAATCACAAGATAAGTGGTCTGACTTTGGAATGCATATAGTGGGACTGGGCCTCCTTAGTTGCTGATGCCTGTGAGGTAAACAGAATGTTCAGATGCACATGAGGCACAGGACAGCCAGCTCCTCAAGGCCCTCATCAGAGGACATCAAGGAGTTCCTCATGAGATGATAGAAGGTCGAACAGATTTGACAACTCTCCTAGGAAAGCTTTGCAACAAGTGTCTGGGTGTGTGGATGTACTAAGGTAGACCATGTCAACCAGTAGATCTTGAATTTTCTCAACCCTGGAGCAGTGAAGCCAATAACATCTCAGAACTATCAAAACCACTCACACAACCACTCCCCACATCAAGGCCTCCGCCATCTTCAAATGCTGGATACTACAAGCAGTGGTCCCATTCCTGTCCCTCACCCCTGCAGATACATTAGTAAAAATAATTGGAAACAATTGTCCCATCCACCTTCCTCCATACCTTGACCTTCACACTGTAATCAGCAATATATATGATTAATGGATATCATATCAGGGAATGTATTTCTAGTGTTTGATAATCAAATATTTATGATAGTCAATTACAGATAGCTTGATAAAATGTTGACTTTTTAAAGAAATGAATAAAATTTCGATACTTCTACAGTCATCACTTTGTTAACCTGTTTTATACATTTGCTGATATGATCACAGAAATTTTTTTCCTTCTGATCTAGGACTAAGGTATCATTACGTGCATTTTCTCACATGACAACATCCTTAAATTCAGAAATGCTGGATGATTTCTTTCTATTACCCTTTTAAAATCATACAGTTTGTTACATTGTTCAAATGAGTAAAACTGGCCCAGGGTTTTGATATGTCATTTTAGACAGCATAACACTCATTTCAATAAATTGAAAACATTTTTATTCTATGAAAATTCAAATGATACAGCATTTCCTTTTGAAATCTTTACTGTAAGTTCATATGAATCATCTGAGATTGTCAATAGCAAGACCTTAAAATTTTCTAAATCAAAAATTTTTTAAACGAAAATATTTAGTTCTTTCAGAATTTTTAAACAATTGCTAAAAGAGATAACCTGATTAACCTACCCTCAAAATTCAATCCACTTACAATACAATTTCTAAATTATGAAAATAAAGGGAAAAGACAGGTGTGTGAAAGGGCGAAAGGAGGGAGGAGAAAGGGAGCATTATTATATTCTTAGAACTGTATCTACAAATTATAATGAATCTGTGAAAAGCTAATTAAATTTTTTAAAGTTAAAAAATAATGAAAACACTACATTACTAGACATATTTAAATGTAGCTAATTTTCCCTTAAAACGAAAGTTGAGTATAATTAATTTTGGTTTATGTAGTTATTGTTAAATAGTGATACAATACAATATATTTAATCATTTATCCAGAATCACTAAAGTTAATCCAAAACAAAAGCAATAAAAATACTTACCATTCTGTTGTAGTTTTTCCCGAAATCAAAATATACTACACATCAGATTATGTAAGCCTTACCAATGCCTTTATTCCTCTGACATCTCACAACATAAACACCAAAATACTACAAAGTTTACAGTGTTACATCTAATATTTCTACTGAATATTTTTGACTTACCTCATATGGTAGTTTATCAAAATACCCATTATTTGGCCCTTCCCTTAGGGAAACACTGCTAAACTTTTTGTTCAGACTGCCCATTCCACAGCCAGCCTCTTCCTGATAGTCTTCATCTTCCAGATCATTCATGTCAATAAGTGAAGTCTTGAGAGCCAGCATTGGCTTATCCTTCAGACCATGTAGCACAACGGCATCTAATTCAGTGTAATAATCCAGAAGAGAACTATTGACTTCCAGTCGGATAAGGTTTGTGGGAAAATTTATCTGCTTAATACAAGGTTTAAACTGACGAGCCTGGGAAGCATTCACTTTCGTAGGTCTCTCTGACCAAAGAATCTCCCATCTGCCAAAGAAAGAAACTTCTCTATAATACAGTTAACAATGAGATCTATTGGTCCCTTAAAACTATGATCCCATTCCCAATGATATAGTGTGAAACAAAAGTACCAAATAAAGGGAAAAATTCAAATATATGTAATGTTTCAAGAGCACAGAAGATTTTAATGAAAAATGACACAGGCTTCACTACTGAAATTATTTTTACAAGTCTCCAAAAAGTTTATTTTGTTGGTTTATTTTTGTGGATTTCACAAAAGCCATGTCAAAAGCTAGAAGAGCTAGAGAAATCTGAAAAACATCCAGTTTTATGGTATAAGTAAAACTTAAAAAGAGGGAAAACAGGACAGAGTCCGCCTGTGTATTCCTCTTAAACCAAACCAAAAAACAAAACCCATCATCTTGCCTCATCAAGGTCTCCTTCTTCTGTTTTTCTATGCCCGATATTGGCTTCATACAAACTCAAACATTCATACATTCTCTGAATTTCTCTTTCTTTCATCGTGTCATTCAATTTCATCAGATTCCTCAGGAAACTGTTTCACATTCAACCTTCGTCTGAATTTTCCTTTATGTCATCTTTTAGTCATCGTTATATCAGCAGTATGTCTAGTAATAGGTGAACATTACCTCTAACACAACTGTAAATGAACCCTCACTCCCCAGCCTGGTTAATCGTTACTATAATCATTAATCATATCATAAGCCCATTTCCAACTCTGAATCTTTGTTCATGTTGTGTTCCCCAAATGAAATGCCCAACTTAAGACTTGCCCATTTAATTCTTCAAGTCTCCATCAAAATCTATCTTGAAATAAGCATTCTCATAAAACTGTTTCTCAAAATTATTTTAAAAATTCTTCATCAAATGGTATTTTCAGATATTTACTACTCATGTAGGTCATAATTACTATCTCTCTATTATTTCCTAGCATACTCAAAATTAGATAAACTTATACAATAAACACATTTTCTCTATTTCTTATATTTTACCTCAGATATCAAGGTTTTTAAATAACTATTATTCCAGAGAGTAGTAATTTTTAAGTCTTGCAATATACACTACAACTTGTTTTCAAAAAAATCATGTCCACAGATTATAAAAATGAGCACTGAAAGCATATGTATTTGTCAAATTATCTCTTAATTTCACAGTCAGCCACATCTCCTTATGATATAACTTACAATTCATTGGCTACTAATAACACTTGAGATATTTTCATTTGTTCATTAATCATGAGGCTTCCCCTGCCAATAAATAGTTGTTTCATTTCTTTGGCCCGATGACCTACGGAGATTTAAGTAAAAATTGATTAACTATGCCAAGATATATAGGAAATAAAAATATGCAAGAGTATGAAATGCAAGTGGAAAATCTGAGCCAAAACTATAGGGCCATCAATAACAGACATCCTAACAGTCTCGGGGCCAAGAAGGTGAGTATCACCAATTTCAGAAGAACGAACAAAGCATCATGATTTCTACCTTTAGGAATAAAAGTATTAAGGTAAAATTCCAGAGATTTCAGCCACATATCATCAGTGAGATCTAGAACCACAGAATAAGAAACTATATTGGTAGGAACTCTTGCAGCTTCTTGTTCCCTAATTGATATTTTTTGCTTATTCTTTCCTGAAAGTTAGGAACAAAATCCACCAAGAGTAGAGAAAGTAGAGAGTCTAAGTTTTTGTATTCACTAGCAGCTGAAAGTGGGAATGGACAGATTGGTGACACTCTATAACCAATCTCCAGAGACAGGGGAAGAATGCCAAGGAACAAGCCTGCAGCAAGTTTAAAAAGGAAAATTCCTATACAGCAGAAAAAAACAACTTGGTGTGCCAAGCTAGACCCAACAAGTGTCCTAGAGATTCAAGGCAAAAACCTCAAGGGCTCCTAACAATGGAATGGATCTGAAAACATCAATGTAAATGTATAGCTAAATGGAGATATAGCCACATGGGTAAAAGGGAACAAGAACCATCTGAAATATAGGAATAACACTTGTAGACAAATAACAGGATGACTGATTTTTAAGGCAGTTTCCAATAGTCATGGGATACATTCTGTAATATATAGGGAAACTGATAATTTTATTTTTACTGCTGTTATACTACTATTGCAAAATTATAGTACGAAATGATGCTGAGGAATTTTGGACTACTCAGGATCTTGTGAAATGATTCCCTATACAGTTCATAGCACATGTGGAATAAACCAGTTTATTGTTTCACTTCAAGGAAGAGTCTTGTGATACTTAATAGACATCCTGAAATCACCTCCACTAGAACTTCGCAATACATAAATATTCAGACAATACATGTTCCTCATGTATAATCTGAAATACATTATAATGTAAATTAAATTATAAAATTACAAATATAAGCTTAAAGAAAGTCGCTGATTAGAGCATAAATATTCTGTTTTAATAATGTATCAGTCTACTGAAGTCTCTCCATTTCCCTTGCAGAATATGCAAAAGAGACAAGGTGAAGATGATGCTCTAAACTGACTCCCTTAATGTTTCCCTATGCTTAAACAGATCAGGTTTAACAGTATTTTAGCATCATTTTGGATTCAGACATTTATAAAGAATGAACATTTCTTATCTTGTCATATATACATCAGACGCTTTAAAGTGATAGCATGCTTAAAGCAGATTAAAGATTTTAAATGTCTAAATACAAAATATTTTCCAAGGAAATCATTATTTTATTCACATATTTTCAAAAATTTTCCTGATAATCAAATATGTAATAAGAAAAATTATTTAAAATATTTTATGGGCATGTACATACTTAACATTAGCTGAGACCAAACTGATTTTCTGCTACACATTTTAAAGTAAATTTTTCTGTAAAATTCCCTAATAAAATCAGAATGCATATTTCCAAGATAGAAAAGTGCTTATTTCAACCAACAAAGAAATATACCAGCTTCTTTTACTCTATAAAACTAAAGTGAGAATCTTAAAAACTGATCAGCAAAAACAAGCAAGTAAATGGAAACATGTGTATATGACCAAGCATTCAGAAACACACACTTCCCTATGCTCTTCTGAAGCTAGCCCTAACTCTTTTACATCTTCATTTAGACCCAGGGCAATGATGCTATGGCTAAACTGCTTGAAGCAATGGCCTTTGTGTCCTGTACATTTATATGTTTGCCATCATTCTCACATGTGGTACTTATCTTGTGGGTAAACCTATTGAAGCATCTGAAATCTAGAGTACTGCATGTGCCCAGAATCCTTTTCAGACTATGTTTGAGTCTGCACCTGAAGCACTCAATTCTGGGATGGTAACCTACAGCGCTCTCTACATGCGCACATGTAATCTTTCATTTGATGGTATGGAATGCTACTATATGTACACTGCTTGAAAATAATAAACAAATCACTATCTACCTCTCTCTGTGACTTCTGACTTGCTGTTATACCACTGAGAAATTCTCTCCAAGGCAACCAGGAGGCAACAGGAGCACAATAGAGGAAGAGAAATGTTTCATTAATGGACACCAGAGGAAGCAAATATTCTAACTTGTATTCAGGTTTGTAGCTAGGTATCATGGTGCAAAATGCTTTCCTGTAAGCCAAATTTCTCCTGGTTGGTAATCACATCTAGAAGCCAGCACAAAGAAAGTTTCCCTCCCAACTCTGCTCAATCTCACCAGGTGAAAATGAAGAAATGGTGCAGAAAAACAAATAAAAATAAAAGAAACAAGTATGCTGACAAGTGGACCTACTCCTCCTTATCTCACAGCCAACTTGAAATTCAAAACTAAAAACTGGAATTGTGCGTCTAAAAATTAATCACTAAAGCAGCTGCTCAATTCTGACTTCAAACATCAAAGTTATGGTTTGTGGCACAAAATGCCAAGTAAACTAGATAATGATAAATTTGTAAAGCCTCTCCTTTAGGAATCCCCTTTGGTAACAAATTCTCTGTGAAAGCTTCTTTCTCTCTTTCTGCCAACTCAAGTTCAATACAGCTAAAATGCCTTCAACAATAAAAAAAAAAATCCATACTACAAAATCCCAGCACCAAATAAATTTATTTCAATCAGTCCCTTTATTACTATCTCAATTTGTCATTCTCTCTTCTCTTTCCTAAACTATAATCTTGAATTAGCCTATTTTCTAACTCTTAGCATTGAAGCAGTATTAGATTTTATCAAACGCATTCTCCGAATCTATTCAGATAATCATATGGTTTTTATTATTCAATTTGTTGATATGGTAAATCACATTTATTGATTTGCATATGTTAAGCCATCCCTGCATGACAGTTATAAAAATCTCACCTGATCCAGGTGAATGATCCATCTCATATACTGTTGGATCCTGTTTGCTAGCATTTTTTTTTTTTAGGATTTCTGCATCTATGTTCATCAGGGATATTGGGGTCTCTCTCTCTCTCATACTGTTGTGTCTCTATCTGGCTTTGATATTAAGCTGATGTTGGCTTCATAGAAAAGAGTTCGGAAGGACTGCCTCTCTATTGTTTGGAATAGCTTGTGAAAGATTAGTGCAAGTTCTTGAAATTTTTGGTAAAATTCAGCAGTGAATCCATCTGGTTCAAGGCTTTCCCTTTGTGGGAGGGGGTTCATTACTGATTCAATCTCCATCATTGTTATAAGTCTATTTAGACAATCAGTTGCCTCAAGGTTCTATTTTTGTAGACTGTATGTGTCCAAAAATCAATCTATCTCTTCCCAGCTAGCAGGAAAAAACAAATGATCAAAATAAGAATGGAAATAAACCAGAGATCAAGAGAACAATAGATCAGATCAACGAATTAGAGTTCTTTGAAACAAATCAATAAAATATAATATTTTCTAACTCTTATACAAGCATTCATTAAGAATTATCCTCAGAACCAGGGCACTCTAGAATATCTTTCTTCCATTTCTCTCAAGGCACTAGGTAACAAGTCAAAAGACTGGCATCTAGTAGAACTGCATATATCTTTTCTACTTTATTCCCTGAACAGACAAATATAAGTAAATGAAACAAGGAAAAATTGCTTTTAAATGTTTAGTTTTCTGCACTATAAGAAGTCTGGGGCCCGGCAGCATGGCCTAGCAGCTAAAGTCCTCGCCTTGAACGCGCCTGGGATTCCATATGGGCGCAGGTCCTAATCCCGGCAGCTCCACTTCCCATCCAGCTCCCTGCTTGTGGCCTGGGAAAGCAGTTGAGGACGGCCCAAAGTTTTGGTACCCTGCACCAGTGTGGAAGACCCGGAAGAGGTTCCTGGTTCCCGGCTTTGGATTGGCACAGCACCTGCTGTTGTGGTCACTTGGGGAGTAAATCATCGGAGAGAGATCTTTCTCTCTCTCTTTCCTCCTCATCTGTACTCTCTGTATAGCTGACTTTGTAATAAAAATAAATAATTTTTTTTTAAGATTTATTTAATTTATTGGAAAGTCAGATATACAAAGAGGAGGAGAGACAGAGAGGAAGATCCTCTGTCCGATGATTCACTACCCAAGTGACCACAATGGCCGGTGCTATGCCAATCCGAAGCCAGGATCCAGGAACTTTCTCCGGGTATCCCACAGGCGTGCAGGGTACCAAAGCTTCAGGCCGTCCTCGACTGCCTTCCCAGGCCACAGGCAGGGAGCTGGATAGGAAGTGGAGCTGCCGGGACTAGAACCGGCATCCATATGGGATCCCAGCACGTTCAAGGTGAGGACTTTAGCTGCTAGGCCATGCCGCCGGGCCCAATAAATCTTTAAAAAAAATAAAAAAAGAAGTCTGTTTCCTGACAACTTTCTGAGCTACTCCAAGATACTCCGGCTTCTTAACACCTGAGGTAACCACAAACAATAGGCTGTACAGGCCAGTGGTTCCAAAGGTAAATAAGTGGCTTCCATGATTAAATGTGAAAAGGAAATGTATATTGGTTCATATTCACACATGCACACGTGTTCATGCAAACTTGCCCACAGCTCTTTATTCAAGATTCTGGTTTTGTTAACTTCCTGATAAAAACTGAGGTTATTTTATGAAAAGATGGTGATAAATGATGTTAGTATTATATTTTTTAGTGTATGCTTATTTAAAACTGTAAATATACTGACAACTCTGTAGGAGTTGCTCAGTTTTTATTGTCACCATTTTGTTTCCTAGTTAACACAGCTGGCTCCTCCCTTCTGCACCAGTTAGATTTGCAGACCAACCCTCCAGACAGGCTTGCTTGCAGGCTTATACCTGCAACCTTCTTCACACAACTACCTTGGGTTCTGGGGGCCTTTTCACCCAAAGCATGGCATGTGCATGGAAGATACTTCTCTCCTCTTACTCATCCTTCCAGCCACAGCCAGAGATGGGACAAAATCAAAACGGCCCTGCTCCCTGGCAACCTACCTCTTAACAGACTGGGAGCTCATGTGAAATTTCATCTTTGCCTTCGTCGCCCTCCTTACCACATGGTCCCACTCCCTTACTGCTTTCCGCTGGAGCACTTCCATAACAACTTTACATGAATTTGGGAAACTAAATCATAGACATTTAGGAAATCCCTAAATCTAAAAACATTAGTTTAGAACTTAATATTACCAGCATGATTGCAGGTCTCAAATAATTTGCGCTCCACATTCGTAGACTTTTTCACTCCTTCAGAAACCACTGTCTCAGCTCAAGATCTTCACGTGCACTGTCCTTACCCCACTTCTCTTTTCCTCTCACTCAACCCTCAGGTCTTGGTTAAATCACTTCCTGAAATGTTATTCCACAGATAACATTATGTACACTGAAGTGACTTAAGGATGCTCTCTGCATTAATGTCTCATAAAAGCAAAAGACTAGAAACAACTCATCAGTTTGTCACTACTTAGTTGTCACTAATGAGGAACTGATTAATACGTTGTGATACATATAAAGAAGGTGTAGCTTGTAACTGTAGGAAATGGGAAGCTCTCGGAGGCTGGTGCAATGGCCCCAAAGGCTAATGCTCCGCCTCCAAGTGCCAGCATCCCATATGGGCACCAGTTCAGGTTCAGGCTACTGCACTTCCCATCCAACTCCCACTTGTGACTTGGGAGAGCAGTGGAGAATGGTCAAAATGCTTGGGATTCCATACCCACAGGGTGGGAAACCTGGAAGAAGCTCTTGGCTGCTGGCTTCAGTTTGGTCAGCTCTGGTCATTGCAGCCATCCGGGGAGTGAACCAACAAATTAAAGACCTTTATCTGTCTCAACTTCTTGACAGAAATGTGATCTGCCTTTCCAAAACCATAAATAAATATTAAAAATAATTTTAAAAAATGAGGAAGCTCTCCTCAGACTTATATACTACTAAAATAAATCAGTAAAGTTTAAAACAAGGTGAAAGTCATGCTCATTTTTGTATACGAGGAAAGTGAAAAAATAATTTTTATTGATCTGCACCTGCATAAAGAATCTGAAAATATACAATGGAAGCTTACAAAAAGACAAAGGATGAAATCTAGGCCTACAGAGACTAGGGGACATGCAGACTGCATTATGATGTTTTAGATTGACCCATATGATTATCACCTAGGCAAATAATCATAGGTTTAAAAGTCAAGAGCCTGACTACAAAAACAAGAGAAAGGATATGAAGTGCAAATTAATTGTGTAAATTTCCTTGTAGGGAGACTTCATGAACATAAAACAACATATGGGATCCTGGAGCATTCAAGGCAAGGACTTTAGCCACTAGGCTACTGTGCCAGGCTCCAACATTTATTTTTCAATGAACATACTTTATACAAAAACATCTACCTAATATATCCCTTAGGATTTCCTCTAAAGTATCACTATAAAAGCCTATTTTGAGTTGTTCCAAGTAAGTAAAAGCAATAACGTAATTTCTGTATGAAAATATTTAAAGAGGGGCTGGCATGAAGACTCAGACAGCTAATTCTAAGCCTGCAAGTGCTGGAATCACATATAGATGCTGGTTTCTCTCCTAGCTGCTCCATTTTCCATCTAGCTCTGCTTGTGGCCTGGAAAAGCAGTGAAGAATGGCCCAAAACCCTGGAACCTGCACCCACGTTGGAGACCTGGAGGAAGCTCCTGGGTTTTGGTTTTGGATAGACTCAGCTCCAGGCATCATGGCCACTTGGAGAGTGAGCTAGCAGATGGAAGATCTTTCCTTCTCTACTTTCCTCTATAAATTATGCTGTTCAAAAAAAGATAAATATATCTTTAAAAATATATTAAACAAGTTTTACTACTAATTTCTCACATTAGCATACGCCTTTAAGTCAAATTGTGCTTTTCATGCAAAGTAAATTATGTGGCAAACAAATATTACAACCTATAATTTGATAGGATAAAATGTTACAAATATAAAATATGCATTATACCTTCATATAAAATGAAGAAATAGTTTAAAAACCAAACTTATTTACCTAAGAGAATGTTAACAATTTAAAAGAATCCAATGTTACAACCAAAGCTTTAGGGCGATTTAACTTAGTCCATTAAAAAATGAGACTTACCTTACATCAGCTGGTGGATTTGGGGAATAGGGATTTGCAGAACAAGCCAGAATTCGAATGACTGCTCCAGGGTGATAAGTTTCCAGAACATGAACAGCTGTAGGATACACCTGCTGTTCAAAAGTAAGTTCCACATAGTCTTGGCTCTGAAAATTAGGTGGTGTCCTCTTGAAGGGCAAGGAGGCACTGGGACACTGGTCCCACCACGTTCCATATGTTCGAAACACAGCCGTTTGAGTAAAGTCACCAGAACTTGGGAATACATTTGGAACACCTGCCAAATTCCACATGGTATAGGACATACTATTCTCACTTCCATAATGGGAACTGAAGTCCACTACTTCTTTGGCATATTGGACCACCTCTGCATTGAGAGGGGAAGTTCGGCTGTTTGATGCTATAGTTCTATGGCTGTTCATCATTTCCCCTCTTGCAGCTGTCCTGGCTCGGCGCCGAAGGCATAGATAATAAAACATAGTCAAAACTGTTAACATGGGAAATACTGGTGACATCAAAGATGTGAATTATGAAGCTTCAAAACGTCAGGTGTCCTCAGTAAGATGCATGAACTCTTTGAAGGATGTTCTAAAAAATGAATGGCTTGGTGAAGTAAAATAATTTAAGTAAGCAGAACATGCATGGATAAGAGAACAAACAAGCTTTACCCCCAAGGTAATTTTCTAGAAAGAAAAAACACACTTTAAGCTACAAATGTGAATCTCTAGTATAAACAATGTATCCAAAATATTTTAAGAAACCTGATTATTGTAAATGTATACAACTTTCCTTATGCTTTATGAAAACCGAAACTGATCCAAGGCAATGAAAGATGCATGATCCAAGAAAACCCTATTTGATAATTACAATCAACAATCCAGAAATACTAAGTCCTTGAACCCTTAAACCATTGCAAATATATGATGATGCATAAATCCAAAAGAATCCTAGGCACTGCTATAATTTCAGGTTTTAACATGATTCCTTATTGTCAATTATGATATTCTTCCAACCGTGCTGAACTGCAGATTTCACATTATGGGACTATAGTTTTTAGAAGCTGACAGTTGATCCAGACCAAGTAAATTAACTGCCTTACACATCACAGATCACCAGACAGTGTTTAATTTATAACTCATAGCATTATCTGTCCGGGCAGTCCACAAACGGCTGCCATCTGGTTTGTTGCCAGTTACTCATAGAAATCACTCACCCCAGATAGAATGGTCACAGAATGCACTCAGGAAATGCAAAAGTTGGCAATCATCCATTTGGCCTGAAATTTGTAGCTTGATTTCAGGTAGAAATGCTGAAATGTAACATTCTTTTACCTAGAACACAGAGTTTCGGGAAAAATGCTTTTATTCCAAAAGCCACATATTAGACATAAAACTTTTCAAACAGGTTACATTTTTTCTAAATTTTCCTAATTTTTTTTTCTAACTTGAAAAATTAAAGACCTGGTAAAATAACAATAAAGTGACTAGCAGAATCTATAGTCATGAAAACCAATGACTTTCATTTCAAACTACTCTTGCAGAGACCCATTTTATAGGGGCTAACCAGTGTTTGTTTCTATTTCCAATAATTGGCCAGCTGGTGACCTTTCTCCTACTGAGATCCATCATTTACAATACAGGCCTGGCCATTTAACCTTCTAGAGTAGATAAGCATTTGATCATACAAAGAGCAGTTCTTGTCTATACATTCAGAAGCCAAAACCTGGAAGGGATCACCCTATCTATAAGAGCGGTACCATGAAAAGCAGCACACTGACCAGGAAGCCCAAGTAGATATTGTGTCAACTGAGACAATGAGGGAAATTTGGCCAAAATCTGGAATAATGCACCATGCATGCAGTACAGGCCTACCTCCATGGTCTGTAATACCACCCCATTCTTACATTATAAAAGACAAAAGAACTAAATCCTAACTGAAGATGTATCATGATAAACTGGAGAAAGAATCACAACCCACAACTAAAAATAATCTGCAAGGAAGAGCAGTCAGCAGATTCACCAAAAAGGAGAACTCTGCAATCCAAGAACAAGAACTCCCGGAACAGACTTAGTCTGGAGAAGGGTAACAAAGTGTTAATTAAAACAGCTCTGTGTTGGGCCCTGGATGCTCTGGCTCATTAGTTAAATCCTCACCTTGCAAGTGCTGGGATCCTGTATCAGCACCAGCTTGTGTCCTGGCTGCTCCACTTCCCTTCCAGCTTCCTGCTTATAGCCTGGGAAAGCAGTAGAGAATGGACCAAAGTCTTGGGACCCTGCACCTGCATAGGAGATCTGGAAGAAGTGCATGGCTCCTGGCTTCGAGTCGGATTGGCTCAGCTCTCACTGTTGCAGTCATTTGGGGAGCGAACCATCATAAAGAGGATCTTTTTGTCTCTCCTTCTGATCTACCTTTCCACAAACACAAACAAATCTTTTGTAAGAATATAGCTTCTGTGGCTCTCCTCTGTTCTATAGTGTCTCCAGAATGTATCACAAGTGAATGAATCAGATTCACTTCAGGACAAGACTACCAGGTGCTGAAATAACAACCACATAGTAAGTGTGTATATGTGTTTTGGGGGGTGGGATGGATAACAACTTAGGTATATTACTTCTTTAATCAAAGTTTCACCCAAGACAAGTGTAAACCTGTTGAAAAAATTACAACTACAGAAATCTGAAACTCTCAATAATGTGAAATCCATACTTTTTCATATTTCTATTGATTTTGAAGATATTTACTTCAATTTTTTGTACCAAAATGAAATTTTCACTCCATTTTTCATGAACAATATCTTTACTATTCTTATTTTTATATAAATTGAACAAATTGTGTGCCTTTCACAACACACATTTAGGAGAACAGTGATACATTCTACCCTGTCCTCTCCCCTGCCCATGTTCCTCACTCACCATACAATGGCATTTTTTATTTCATTTCACAATCACAGGCTTAACACTCTATTTTAAGAAATAACAAGGAGAAAAAAAAATCTCAACTGTTCCTCAGGAATATATACAGGCTATAAACAATAATCAAATTTCAAGATACCTTTCATATAGGTTGTGTTGCAATTACCCCGTGTGTTAGCTTCCACAGGCTAGAGAAATCAAGAATTTATAATTTTGGGACTTGTTTATTCACTAGGCACAATGGTTCCTCGTTCCATCAATTTTGTTGCAAAAGACAGGACTTCATTCCTTCTTATGGTGAGTAGTTTTCTATAGTATACATATAAATCATTTTTTTAATAGTTTGTTGTTGATAGACATCTAAGTTTATTCCAAATCCTAGCTATTGTGAATTAAGCTGCATTAAGCAAGGTGTACAAATCACTCTCTTGTTTACTGATTTCATTGGGTTTGGGTAAAGAGAAGAGCTAGAGATCTTCCATCAACTGATTCACTCCCCAAACTGCTGCAATGGCCAGAGTTGGGCCAATCCAACACTAGGAGCCAGGAGCTTCTTCCAGATCTTTGTAGGGGCCAAAGGACTTGAGTCAGCCTCCACTGCTTTCCCAGGCCATAAGCAGGGAGCTCAGAAGTAGAACAACCAGGCCTCAAAACAGGCCCACATGGGATCCTAACACTGCAGGCAGAGGCCCAGCATTCTACTCCACCTTGCTGACTCCTTTGTTTTGCTTTTAAAGGTTTATTCCTTGATTTTGAAAGTCAAGTTTATTGAGAGAGAAGGAGAAACAGACATTTTCTCCAACTGCTGATTTGCTGTCCACATGGCAACAATGGCCAGGCTTGGGTCAGGCTGAAGCCAGGAGCTTCTCTTCCAGGTCTTCTACTTGGGTGTCATGGGCCCAAATTCTTGGATCATCCTACAAGGAGTTTCCAAAGCGATGAGCAGGGAGTGGAAATGGAAGTGGAGCAGCCAGAACTGGAAGGGGTGCCCATCTGGGATAGATATGTCACAAGTGGCAGCTTTATTCACTTTGCCACAGCATCAATAACCGTCATGAACTTTTAAAACTATCCCACTACTTCTTTGGACATTATTTCTCACTCCAGTCTACAAACTGTTTCAAATAAGCTCTCTATACTTTTCCTACAAAACTTTATCAGAAAATAAAAGTTTCATAAAGCCAAAGAAATATCTGCAATATCACCATTCACACAAACAATAATTCTTGGGAAAAAGATTGATACATACTATAAAGTCAAATTCTGTTGGCCATAACAAGCCACAAACTTTATGACTGTTTGCCAGCTAACTGTATCATTGCAGATCATGATTTTATCAAAACAAGTAAGCTTGTATGGACAATATCATTTTTAAACTGTATTAAATAAAACTGTGCTGACATAACATATGTAACAAGTTGGTTAGAAATTGAAAATATATGTACTATGTGTTCAAACTTTTTAGTATAGAGAGTAAAATGAATGCTTTGTTTCCAACTATGGATAAAAACAGACTTTAAAATTTTGTGAAACAAAGCTAAAAATGACAAAGAAATGTTTGAAAGAAAGAAAAATAATTATATTTATTCTTTTCCCAGCAATGCTATTCTGAAAATGTTACAGAAGCTAAAATCTTTTTGAAAATAAATAAAGCATAGAAATAAAAACTGAATTTTGCAAATCCATTGCTCACATTTTTCACTGATTCTGAACTCCTTGTCAATCTACTACGATGGCATACAACAATGTTATAGGAGGCAGCAACATATGGAATAAAGAAGCTAAAGAGAGGAAGAAAGTTATCGTCTCAGAGCTCATGTGGGTAGCAATGACCAACACAGTAGGCCAAACTTCCCATGTAGTGTATTGACTTCTGCCAAGGAACAGAGGCAATTTGTGATAACCCAGGAATATCCCAATGAGCAATGAGCCAAGTACAAAGATGTAGTAACTGTGTTTTACGAGGAGAATGAGACTCAAAGACAAAATGATTTTACTCACCTGGGGCAAATAAATAAATAATAGTCTGGAACAATGACTTTGTCCAAAAGAGTGATTATAAAATATACCTTCTGGGAGACATTCTCTTTTCTAATTCATCTAAAAAGTGAGTTACTTATAAAACCCACAGAATACACAAAAATATTCTTTTACATTTATCAAGAAGTTCAGCAGTAAGAATTATAAACAAGGTCAGTTTCATTTGCTGTTTAGTAGAGTTACTTAACAATGGTTGTACAGTAAAATATATTCGCTATAACTGGGCCTGGCGCTGTAGTCTAGTGGCTGAAGTCCTCATCTTGCACATGCCAGGATCCTATATGGGCATCAACTGTAATTCCCGCAGCCCTGCTTCCTGTCCAGCTCCCTGCTTGTGGCCTGGGAAAGCAGTGGAGGATGGCTCAAAGCCTTGTGTCCCTGCAACCCGTGTGAGAGACCCGGAAGAAACCCTGGTTCCTGGTTTCTGGCTTTGGATTGGCTCAGCTCCAGTCATTCAGGCCATCTGGGGAGTGAATCAGTCAATGGCAGATCTTCCTCTCTGTGTCTCCTCCTCTGTGTATATCTGACTTTACAATAAAAACCTTAATAAAAAATTTTCTATTACACATCAAACTTTTACACCAGCACAATCAAGAATATAAAATAGCAGCCACTTTAACTTGTACCTTGAGACTTTCAGATTCCTTGGGAAACAATTTGCTTTATACAACATGTTTCAATATAATACAACTTTATTTTCAACTACATCTTCCATAGTAGAAAATGCGTAACAAAGTTAAATAATACAATTACAGGGAAAGCAGTAACAGTGGAAAAGAGAAATTAAGAGGTATAGACAAGGGAGAACATATGTTTACTATTGAGATTTGAAGTGAGATGGGGAGTCGATGAGGCGGAGAGAAACAGGATGGCAGGGGCTGTGGAGAGGAGCCTGTGCTTCTACAGGGGGAAAAAGAAGGAAAAGGGCTTTTCATGAAACAAACAAAAGAAGACCCTTAGAATGAACTACAGCCAAAGTAACACAAAGACTAAGTTTACAGTATGATGAAAGACCTTCAACCAAGCTTGAAACTCAAAAGAGGATTCTCAACTTACATCAGTGTGGGAAGACATAGAAAAAGACAGAACAAATAAGGAATAGGCAATTACTGAGGCAAGTCATAGCACACTACTCAGTTGTGAAACATGCTACAAGGATATGTCAATGAAGTGATAGGAAGGGGGGAAAAAAAAGAAGGCTGAGACAGCTTTGTGGCACAGTACCAAAACGCAACAGAATGCATCATGTGGTAATAAATCAAGGAAAAATCCCAAACCACAAATGTTAAGCATTTGTGAACCCTGACCAAACTGACCAAGATACTTTTTTGAGGAGACGACTCTTCATTAGATCGACCATCAAAACATTATGGGAAGAAAGTGAAAGAGCAACTAAGAAGAGAGTGGGAATTATTTTTGAGTTTGATGCATATCCAACACTTCTCATTAATCTTCTTCCTGGATGGCCCCTCTAGACTTCCACACCAACACCTGCTGTTTTATCTCCTCTGCCTCTCTGGTAACTTCATTCCTCCCCTCATTCTTCTAAAAATAAATCCAGGTACCTTATTAAAGGAAGGATATATATTTTTTTTACATCATGTGTTACGGAACATTCCACCTACCTTTGTACTAATTTTCCCTCCATCCATTCATTACCACACATCCAGCACCTAGCTGTAGATCCACCACAATATCCATCATGCCCTGACTAGCACTTGTGTTTTCACATCTAAGCCTCTCAAGTCTTCCACTGTGGTTTGGTGCTTTGGGAATGCCTTCTCTCTTCCTCCATGTGGCACCTTCTTATGTTCATGACTCAGTTTTCACTTTACACACAAATGCTGCCTTTGCTTTTAGATGTTATGTATGATTTGTGCTTTCTTTTCTATTGAGATATTTCTTTGCCCCAACAGACTAAGAATTCCTCAAGGTCAAAGAATATGTCTTTTTATAATTATACCCATAGAGTCTATCACATGCCAATACATGCTCAATAAACATGTTTGCTTCATGGACAACAGCAGAATACGTAGTGTGAGAGAACTAAAATAAGTTGAGAAATGAACAGAAATGAGACCAGTAGTTCTTCAATATAAGTGTTATGTAAACAACAAAATGAAGTAATAAATTCCATATCTTAATACAGAAAAAAAGAAGAGGAAATGGATACTAAAAAGTGAAACACAATAGGTAAGAATCAAAAGTATGAACTTCTTTGAAGCTATCCAAGAAAGAATATTATACATATTGAAATTTTACTTTTCAAAGAGAATATAAAAAAGTGGTAACTTGTGTTAGTATAAAAGCAGTGCCTGAATACATAAAAGAAATTTGACTCTGGCCACAAAGAAACTCTGATTGAAATTAAACAAAGATTCATGAAAGAGATGATTGGAGAGGTAAAAGAAAGCTATTTTTCAACTATAATGCTCCTTTTTAACACTCCAAATCTATGCTAAAACCTTAGGCTGATTATGGAGGCCTGAGGAAACTATGGATAAAAAGTTCTTACCAAAAAAAAAAAAAAAAAAAAAGAAAGAAAAGGGGAGAGGATAAATGGAGATTCAAGATGGCTGAGTAGGAAGACCCTTAACTAATATCCACCACAGAGAAGAACCAGAACAAGAGAGGACTGTGTTTCCAGGAAACTACACAGCACAGTGACTGTCAGCCAATAGAGAGCTGCGTAGGAAGCCAGCTCTGTCCTGGCTCCCTGGCCAGGGGTCACTCTATCTTGCTAGGCAACCATATGCACAAAGCTCCACAGCCTCCTGCAGCACCACAGGACAGGACACTAACTACAGGACTATTCTACGGCCATCACTGGCTTCACATCCAGTCTAGGAAACTGACTGGGGTCTGAGCAAAACCTTTTGTCTCCTTCTGTCTCCAGAGGCCCAGACACAAGCAGGAGCTGTGCAGTCACTGCTGAACTCCATTCTGTCTTCAGGGTAAACAGCAGCATTTTGGCTACCAGAGCCCCCAAAGTCAGTGCGCGGTGTTTCAAAGGACAAAAAGTGGGACCCTCTGCATTCTGCGGCTGCAGGATCTTTTTGAGCCGTGAGTCACACTCACTCTTTTTTTTTTTTTTTTTTTTTGCACAACTCAGGGAAGCCCCCCTCTGCTTCTTTGGACTGGCTATCTCTAGCAGTCCCACCCATGTAGGTACAAATCCAGATGATTGGGCCTCAATAAGTCACTTCTGCAGCTTTTAGCAGGGTGCTGAGTGGCCAGAGCACAAGCCCCAACATCTTGAATGCCCTATGAACTGAGTAACCCGCAGCCCTGGAACTGTGGCTGTTTATGCTATAATGCCTGGAATAACTTGCATTTGTTGGTGGAACCTAAGGATTCTATCCATATTCCACTGTTAAAAATTTGTGCCTGCCAGTGCATCACCTGCAGCATAACTTGCCAAGGAAATCAAAAACCTAAGGTTTCTGCTGCATCCTGCAGCTCCAGAATGACAACTGTAGGTTCTGAAATTTCCCCAACCCCAACACTTGCCTGTGGGATCTGAAGAAGTCTCTAATTCCATTGCACTACGTAAGGTTCACAACTGCAAGTGCAAAATCCCCAGCATAATCTTCACTTCTACAGGCTTTGAGACCCAATTACTACTCTATTTTTCAGAGCCACTGAAACGAACTCTGTGAGACTTAAGGAACTTCCTATCTACATTCTAGTACCACAGAACTATACCTGCCAGTGCAAAACTACCATCACAAACTCTGCTGTGATATCTCTACTTCACAGACAATTTTGATTCCACAAATTGATGCAAATTAGACAACTGTGGCACTGGTAGGTCCTGCCTAACATTGACTACAACTTCAGATATCAATGAGAGTTACACTTCTAGAATTATCTAATATCAAAGACAAAAAGCTACCCAAATGACACCCCACTTTCCACCAGAATAAAAAGGCCTTTTCCAAGAAAATATATAAAGATGACAGAACTATCATACCAGAAACCTACATGTCAAGGTAAAGTAATAAGTATCAAGAAGTAGCAGCAAGAATGAAATCCAAAGTGAGTGCATTAGTTCTCCAGAAATAAATTCTCATTTGAGGAAATATATAAATTCCTGAAAAAAGAGTTCAAAATAGTGATCCTAAGAAGACTGAATTTGATTTTAAAAATACAGATAAGCAATCCAAGAAATTGGGGTAACAGTTATAATGTGAGTGAAAAAATTAAAGAGAAAACATTAAAAAGGAAAAAACTACCAGCAGAAAATGTCAAGTAATGAAATAAAAAGTACCATCTAGAGCTTCAACAATATTGACAAACAAAAGAATTTCTGATCTTCAGCATGAGACTTTAAAAGAACCCTATCAAACAAAAAACAAAAAGAATTTATGAGAATGAGGAAATCCTACAAGATTAAACAAATATTCTTATTACAATGATCATTGAAAGAGAAGGAAATTGAAAATTCATTAAATACCTATTAAATTAAATTAAATGACAGTTGAACTTACCAAAGATATCCAGATATAGGATATGGAAATGAATATCGAGATACAAAGCTCAAAGAACTCAACCAAAACCAACCAAAGAAACTTTCTCTAAGGTGCATCATTGTCAAGCTGCAAAAAGTAAAGGAATGGGACCTGGCATCATGGCCTAGCAGCTAAAGTCCTTGCCTTGAACATGCCGGGATCCCATATGGGCGCCGGTTCTAATCCCGGCAGCCCCGCTTCCCTTCCAGCTCCCTGCTTGTGGCCTGGGAAAGCAGTCAAGCACGGCCCAAAGCTTTGGGACCCTGCACCCGTGTGGGAGATCTGGAGTTCCTGGTTCCCAGTTTGGATTGGTGCAGCACCGACCACTGCGGTCACTTGGGGAGTGAATCACAGGACGGAAGATCTTCCTCTCTGTCTCTCCTCTTCTCTGTGTATCTGACTTTGTAATTAAAAATAAATAAATAAATCTTTAAAAACAAAAAGTAAAGGAAGAGGAGGAACCCCTAAGATAGTAAGAAAAATATCAAGTTTCATATAAAGGAAATTCAATTGGAATAACAACAGACTTATCAGGGAAAAAAAGCTTATATGCCAGAAGACAGGGAGAAAGTATACTTGAGTACTCATGATCTTGAAAAACAGCAAGGATATTATATACATCAAAAATAACCTTTAGAAGTGAGAGAGAATTAAAGTATTTCCCAAAGAAAAAACCAAGAGAATTCACCCAGACCAGTTCTAGAAAAAAATCCAGAAGGAAGTCCTCCCTTAGTAGAAAATGGATGATTATAATCATGATGAAGACAGAAGACAGTAAAAAGTTTAATAGTAGCTCAGATACACAAAAGAGAGTCTAATTCTATCACAACAAAAAAGATGCCAAGACAAAAAGTTCAATAATAAAGAGAGGCATAGAAGAAATAGAATACATAAATGGCCAGTAAGCAATCAGTCAAATAACAGTAGTTCTTATGTATCAATATTAACTTTGGATATAAACTGATTAAATTCCCCAGTCAAAAGATAGATTTTGAAAATACATATTCTAAAAAACAGTTGAATATATTTCAAAAAAGGATTCTCTCCCATCCCTACCTGGTCAAAGAAAAAAAAATTCAACTATATGCTATAAGAAACTCACTTATAAAAAATATGTACACAGACTGAAAATGAAGGGTTGGAAAAAGAGATATACAAATGGAACCCCCCCACACACCAAAAAAAAAAAAACTAGGTAAGGGTACCTATACTCAAATAAATATATAAACAGACTTTAAATAAAAACTCTAAAAGCAGATAAAGAAGGATATGCACATTAAGAGTATAATTTTTGGCAAAGAGATTTAATAAACATGAATATATATAACCAACATAAGACCATATAAATTTACAAAGTAAATATCATTAGACCTAAGGGGAGACACAGATTCCAACACAAAGATAGTTGGGGGCGGGCAATATTCCACAGTCATCAAACTAATATTATTCAGACAGAAAACCAACAAAGATACATCAGAGTTAAGTCATATTGTATAGCAAGCAGATCTCACAGACATTTACAAAATATGCATGGAACATTTTTTAACAGTACAATGAAGTTGTACTGTTACTGTTTTTCAGAGAAATCACACAGACAGTGATTATACACAGCCATTCCTCAACGCTCTTTTCCTTCCACTAAGAAATTTAAAACACCATGATGAAGATTATAATGCTAAAAACAAGATTGTTGGCTTATCATCTAGGGGACAACTACACACTTAATCATCATTCAACACTTTATTAAATGCAAAGTGAGATTTACCATCTTTGCTTTTGTTGTACACACATGGCTGAAGCAGGAGCCCAGGGAGGGGGAGGATGGTTCTACCCTGGTGGAAAGGTGTGTGCAGTGCAGTCCTATCCGATTTGGAGAGGCCTAGCCCATGTTCTGTCGGTTGCCATACCCTCTGGGATGAGTGTCCTTCCAGTCATCCCACTGCCTTGCTCTGTGAAGTGTGTTCTCCTCCTCCTCCTCCTCATCGTGTTCTTTGTCATCTTCTTGTTGAGCAGCTCTTTGGAAGTCAGCTGGGGTCTTGGCTATTCCTTGATCTGGTAATACTCCGTATTTCTGATGCTGTTCGTACCAGTCATTCACAGTCATGGTTGCCAAACTTGGGTAACCAGCTCCAAACACCTTGGCTTGCGTTGCATTCCGAGTGAGAATAAAGGGTTTCAGTGGAGGCCTTTCCTGAAGAGATGAGTTAGATGTTGATGCCTCTTCTGAAGAGTCTTTTTTTCTCAGGATTCTCATCTCCTGGTCAATGCTCTCCATCTCTTCTAAGCTGATACCAATCCACCTCCGAATGTGTAGGAGGTAATATTCACGAACACAATCATCATCTGCTTGACCACTTTCCACAGCAGATTTCAGTGCCGACAACCTGTTCTCCACCTCCTTCTTCTGCCTGTATCTCTCTATTTTAGCCTGTCTTTCAGATGCCATAGCAACAAGGTTAGAATAGGCCATGGAGGAATTAGCAGTGTTATTTTCACCTGAATTGTTCCCGATTTCGGGCAGCTGAAACTCTGCCACATGATACAACTGGCATTGAGTTAAGTAGTTTATAAAATGTTCCTGGGCCCGTTGCAAATGATCTAGACGCTTGCTGGGGTTCACTTGTTTCATGGTGAGGGCTCCTTGAAACGCTGGCACCATCAAGTATTTCAGCTCGGTGGAAGCAATCTCTTCCAAATCTTCATTTTGGCTAAACAAGTCAAGCTGTGTTAACATTTCAGCAGCTTTCCCAAGGAGATCTAATCCCTTGAGCACTTTGTCCTGGACCGTCTGGGAACCGGTGGGTTCAGTTGCTGCTTCCACTTGGTCCAGGAGCTGCTTGCTGGTTTCAAACAGTTCAGGTAGCCGCAGTGGCAGAAATTCTTCCGATGCTGCCATCTTGGGGGGAGGGTGGGACCTTGAGATGGAACATTTTGTAAGATGAATCACACACTAGACCACAAATAAATTCTCTGTAAATCTAAAAAACCTTAAATCATATTTTTTTTTCTCAAGCTGCAAATGAGTAAAACTAGAAATCAACAAAATGAACAAAGGAAAATTGGCAAATACATTAAAATGAATATCACCTGAATGCCCAATGGATCATTAAAGAAAGAAAAAAGCAAAAAGTTTCTGAAACAACTGAAAGTGAAAACATACCAAAATAAGTTGGATACAGCAAAAGTAGCATTAAGATAGATGCTTATGGAAAATAATTGAATGTGTCTAAAACATAAAAAATGTTTGAGGCAAACAATTTAATGATGTACCTCAAGGACTTAAAAAAAAAATACCAAATTAGCATCAAAGAAAATAAATTATAAGGTGTGGGAATAAAACTGAAACCAAAACAATAAAAAAACCCAACAAAATGAAAAGCAGTTTTAAAAAAAAGATAAACAAACAAAACACAAACCTTTAGCCAAAGAAAAATTCAAAAAAAACAAGAAATGGAAAAGACATTATAATCGAAGCCAGAGAAACACAAAGAACTATAAGAAACTGCTATAAACTATTCAAACAAACTGAGAACCTCCAAGAAATAAATTCCTACATATATAAAACTTTCCAAATTCAAAGCAATTAGATACAGAAAAGTCTAAATAGACCAGTACTAACCATTTAAAGCAGTAATGAAAGTTTACCAATAAAGAAAAATCCAGGACTTAAGGACTCAGTGGCTTTACAACTGAACTGTACAAAGCTTTTAAAGAGGGACTTCAGTATTTTCAAAGTATTTCTAAATATTGGAAGGAAGGAAACTCTGCCAAACTTTCTATGAGGACAGTATTGCTGTTACCAAAGAAAAACAAATACACATTACGAAAAGAAAACTACAAATATCCTCGAAGAACACAAATGTAAAAATTTTCAACAAAATTTCAGCAGAGTCCAGTACTACAGCAAAAAGATCATACATGACAACCAAGTAGGATTTGTCTCAGGAATGCAATATTTCAATGATTGCAAATCAGTAAGAACTAATATGAACACAATGAAGAACAAAAGCTTATACTCAACAGATGAAAAAAAATTTTTTACAAGATTCAATATTCTTCATAAAATCTCTCAAATTAGATATACAAGAAATATATCACAAATTATAAAGTTTACATATGACAAATCCATAGCCAATCATATCAAATGACATGGAGTCATACCAGTTGTGCAATATGAAACAGATTCCATTTTCACAACTTTAACTCCAAATAGTATGGAAGTATTAGCAAGAGTGATTAGGGAAGAAAAAAAATAAGGGCATCAAAATTGGAACAAAGGGTGTGAAAATACGCCAAGTATCCAAATGATATGATTCTGTTCATGGAAAAACATGTGCACACTTCAAAAAAGCTGTCAGAACTGATAAACCAATTCAGCAAAGTTGCAAAATGTAAGAATCAACAATACAAAAATGTAGCATTTTTTTGTATACCAAAAATAATCTTGCTGAAAGAAGAATCAAGAAATCCCACTGAAAACAGCTACAAAAATTCAATTTAGGAATAAATTTAGCCAGCGAAATGAAGGATTTACAATAAAAATTATGAAACACTTATAAAAGAAATCATCAAAGACACACATAAAAATGAGAAGACACTGCTTGTTCATGGATTGGAAGAATGAATATTGTTAAAATATCCATACTTCCTAAAGCAATGCAGTTTCAACGTAATTTAATCAAAATATCAGATATTCTTTAAAGAATCAGAAAAAAATTATTCTAAGATTTATACAGAATCGCTAGTGTTTCTGGCATGAAAATCTATACAAAAAGCAACAGAACAGAATAGAGAAATCAGAAATTAATTCACATACAGCCAACTCATTTTTGACAAAGGTGTCAAGAATATACAGCAGAGTATGGATAACTTTTTAAATAAAAAATGCAGGCAAACTGGATAGACATAGGTAGAAGAATGAAATCAAATCCCTCTCACTATATAGAAAAATCACGTAAAGATGGATCTAAAATCTACAGGTAAACCTAACACTAAGAAATTGCCACAAGACAAATATTTTAAGACATTGGTGTATCACATCACTATCTTTGGAAAAGACCCCAAAAGCACAATCAAAATAAAACTGGGAAAATTGGATTCTATCAATCAAAAGCTTCTGCACAGCCCAAAGAAACTACCACCAGAGTGATACCATGCAACAGAAAAGGGAAAAGAGTTGCAAACTATTTATCCAGCAAATAATATTAAGAAAACATTTGTGTCTCAAAAATGCAACAAAATAAAACCAACCATTTTGGTTAGGAAAATGGGCAAAAGGCCTGAACAGATAATTCTCAAACTAAGAATAAAAGATAGCCAACAAATAAATTACATGTAAATGAAAACAACTACAAGATATCACCTTATCGGACCCGGTGACCTGGCCTAGCAGCTAAAGTCCTCGTCTTGAGCATCTGGGATCCCATGTGGGCGCCAGTTCTAATCCCGGCAGCTCCACTTCCCATTCAGCTCCCTGCTTGTGGCCTGGGAAAGCAGTTGAGGACGGCCAAATGCTTTGGGACCCTGCACCCATGTGGGAGACCTGGAAGAGGTTCCTGGTTCCCGGCTTCGGATCAGCGCAGTACCGGCCGTTGCGCTCACTTGGGGAGTGAATCACGGGATGGAAGACCTTCCTCTCTGTCTCTCCTCCTCTCTGTATGTCTGACTTTGTAATAAAAATAAATAAATCTTAAAAAAAAAAATCACCTTATCCTGTTACATTTACTACTATAAAGAGAGCAAAAAACGCTGACAAAAGGTATTAGGAAGGGGGACTCTATATATTGTTGGTGGGAACATATACCAGTTCAGCTGCTATGGAAATAGTTCAAAAACTTCCTTAAACACTTGAAATATACCTACCATATGATCTACAATTTCTATTACTGGGAATGTATCCAAAAGGCATTAATTCAGTTCATCAAACAGACAACTGCTCCACCATTTTTACATCAGTCCTGTTCATAACAGCCAAGATATGAAATCAACTAAGGCATTTATTATCAGATGAATGGATAAAGAATATGTAACACAATACACAATGGAATATCAATCAGCCATGAAATGAATGAAATTCTGTCATTTTCATCAAAATGGATGGAACTGCAAAAGATCATGTAAAATATCACACGTTCTTGCTCAACTATGGAAGCTATTCCATGGAAAGATGACCCAGAATGCTGACTACTAGAGACTGACAGTGGTAACTGAAGTTTGGATAGTGAATGCCACACCCGACTAAGATACAAGCATTAAGTTCCTAGTGTTCCTCAGCATCAAGGGGAGACTACGGCTCACAACCAAAGAAGAAAGTTCTAAGCCTCTAAGGATAAATTAGTATCAATGAAGGGGAAAAGTACTCTGCCTTGATCAGTACACACTGAATTTATATATCACTTTATAACCCATTGTTAATCTATTCTTTGAGATCAAGAAAGACAACCTAAGAGCTAACAGAGAAGCGACAGATCAAGAGAAGCAGTAATGTAAGAGGCAAGAGTGAAAAGGTTAATATTAGTCTGATACTTGACATGCTATGGAAGAACAAGCCAGCATCCTTTTTTCTGCATCATAAAAACCATTCAGTCTTACTCTTTTGTATTGCTCTAACAAATTAGCTGGGGCTAAATATTTTAGAAAGTATTACTACACTCACAACTTGAATGGTCCCGGAGTATGGTATCAGCATGTGCCTCAGTTCTGGTGAGGCCCCATGGTGGATGGCAAGACATGGTGAGGCAGGTGCAAGAATGCTCACTTCATGGAACAGGATGCACATGAGATCTAATGCATTCCATAAACCCATAAATTCAGCATTTGTTCTCACAAAGGCAGGATGTCCAACCTTACACAAAGCAAACCCCTGCCAGTGCTGCTGCACTGTGGACCAAGCCTCCAGCACTGAACCTTAGGAGATACACTCAAAACACATTCAAACCTTAGCACCTTCCAACTGTACTACATAACTTAAAAACTTTTTTTTTTAATGTAAAAGTACTACTGGGTACAGTATACTAAGACTTTATGTACCTCATTCCTACTAAATTATTCTCCAGTTGAAGCCTCTTAATTATGAATTTAATTGTGAAGTTAGAAAAACCATAAGCCTTAAGTAATGCAGAACGAAAAAAATACACACAGACACATATACATACACACACATATATGTAAGATATCTGGTTCTCTATTAAGTTTATACTAAATCATGTGAATTTACTTTAGTCAAACACTAACCATAGGTTTAAACAGGGACCACTGTACTTGATAAAAATAAATAGTTGTCCCTTGGTTATGTGTGCAAGTTTCAGGACCCCACGTAGATATCAAAATCCAAACATGTTTAAGTCTCTTACACAATCTGGAAGTAGTATTTGCATATAATTCACATCCTCTTGTTTACTTTAAGTCTTCTGCAGACTATTTATGCTACTTAATATGATGCAAAATGCTTTGTAAACAATTATTGCATTGTAATGTTTAGGGAATAATTACAAGAAAAAAAGTACGTGAATGCTCAGCACAGATGCAATTTTTTCAGAATACATCTGATCTGTGGCTGGTTGAATCAAGAGATGTGGAACATAGAGAAACACAGAGCCTACAGGAATGGATTTAGTTATCCTAACAAAACACCAGTACAATATCATAGGTCTGTCACAACTAACCCTCATAGCCAGAGAACAATTAACTAAAATGATCTAATATTGCTGAACTAACTTTTGGGATAATTTGCATTCCAATGATGTACCCCAATTTATGTACACTATTTGATGAATTTTTAAAATATTTTTGTATAATTCTTCTACTTAATTTCTTTTTTTAGATTACTTTTATTAGAAAGATTTACAAAGAGGCAAGTCTTGCCTCTGCTGGTTCACTGCCCAAATGCCTGCCACAGAGAGAGCTGAACCAGTCC